ATAAAAAAAACTGGCTGAGGTTTTAAAATTTAAAAGGGAAGCACAAATGACAAAGCAAGAGAGTGGCCTGGATAATTTTTTTCCTACTGGATTTCAAAAGAGGCTTGTTAAAGTCTTGAAGAATTCTGTGCAATGGGACAAAGAAGAAATGAAGAGAAATCAAATCCTACGACAACATTTGAATGAACTAAAGATTAAGACTGTTTGAAGTAAAAGGAAGAAATATAAAGTTGGTTTACAGTATTTAATCAAGGTTAAAACAAGATAAGTTATTACCTCTGGCAACCCTTTACAGACTTTCTGCTGACACCAGGACTGAAAAATGATATTTTATGGATTTGTTTATAGATAAGGGATGGGATATGGGATTAAGAAGTAAATGTTTGTAACCTTAGAGGGGGTGAAGAGTCACTAAATTTGTTTACACTTGTGATGAAGGTTGGAAGTCACTTCTTTATATATTTCTTTTCTCTTTATTACGTTCTTACTTTTCTCTTTCTTCTCTTTTTTCTTGCACATTTTACTCCATTATTTTCTTCTTTCTTTAAGTTTAATTTACATTAGATTTCACCATTATAATCAAAATTATATATAAAAGAAAAAAATACTTGTAAACATTTCATTATTAACATGCATTAAAAAGTTAACAAAAATGCCATAATACCTTGTTCAACCAATAATTCTGATTTTTCTCTATTAAATCTTTGGAATTCTTTGTTTATTCTCTCCAGTTCTCGCTGACACTCTGTTAACCGTGTCTCCTTTTCTCTCACGTTTTTCTGATGGTTTTGATACATTTCTCTAAGCTGCTCATCGCTTCCTTGAAAAACCTAACATTGCAATGTAGGGGGAAAAAAACATTCAGAAATACCTTATCTTTTTTCAGAGGGGGGTTCTGCAAAGGCCAAAGAAGATGTGACATAAAGAGGTACATGATTATGATACCATCCCACATTGTTGCCTTGAAGACTGGGAAATACTGTAGTGGGCTGGGAAAATGTTAACCCTTTTCCTAACGTAACTCTCATCCCAGCCCTGAATGCTCTCACCTCCTACCTTCCCAGGGAGCTAACAGTAGCAAATATAAGATGCTAATTATCTTTTCCCCCAGAGTACAATTTCCTGATCTTCAAAACAGTTATATGAGGGATAACACCTAGAATAAAAGGCTAACACAAAATAAAAAACTCAAAGTCTGTCTTTCAAACTATTTTGGCTTTTACGCAGCTACAAGCCAAGTGTGCACAGTTCCCGTTTGTCTATTAGATCAATGAAAGAGGGCAAAGACCTCACTAATATGACTGATTAAACAGCTGGCATACTTTTTCTCAAGGTATCTCAAATTACTTTCAACCTGAAAACCAAAACAGGAGTACAATGAGTGTGGATCTGCTCACTAAAAAAACTGCAAGAGTAATAATAAATACAAGAGGGCTGACTGATTGTAAATGCGACAGCTGCTGGGAAGAAAAATCTAACCTTTACCATTGGGTCAGCATAGCGTTTACATGCAGTTTATATTCTACTTCAAGGAACACAAGCAAACCTTCTCCATTTTTTGTTGTAGGTCTTGATGATCCTTTTCCATCTGCTTTCTTCGACTTTCCAGAGCTTTGCTTTCATTATCAAGTCTCATTACTTTTACAAGATTCTGTTCTATTTCCATCAAAGAGTTCTGACAAAGGAATAAATATTTAAAATAAGAAAGCTATATAATAAATATGAGGGATTATAAAACAACCTCTCAAAGCTCTCTCCCATCTTCAGAGATTGCATTTTTAAGTTGGGCATGAGTTCAAGCAGTCCAGCTATCATCTATCTGGACATAAAGACCCAACATTCAAATATCCATTAAAAAAAAAAAAAGTTTGACTTCATGCTCTCTTAATGCCTTTTAATGTTTCAATAATTACAGACACATTTAAACTATGGCAACAATTTGGAGCCAGCAAATAAGCTATAATAAAAGGATTCAGAGCCACAAACAGCCTGCAGGTTGCCAGCTCTGAGGACACATCTATTACATCAACGTATTACAGATAGTAAATCACCTTTAGAGGCTCTAGTTGGTTTTCAATATATCTGACATTTTCTTTGGAGGCAGCTAACTGAGTTTCCCTGTTAGATAGCTGATTCTGGATTTCCTGTGCTTTTTCTTTATTCTGCTTCAAGTACTTCAACTCCACCAGACATTCTTTAACCCGCTGACTTTGCTTCAGACGCACCTGACGAAGTGTTTCCAAAGCTTTAATATACCTTTTTGAAAGAAAACCGTACGTGATTTTACCTTAAATTGTATCTGTAACTTTCGTGGACAAACTTTTATTAATTAGTATTATTAAAGGCTATTTGATTAATTTTAATCTTTTACCTCATTCAAGAAACCACAAGTAAAAACTACCTTGTTGCTGAAAAGATCTCATCAAATTTCTGTTTCAGAGCCTTTCCTTCACTTAGAGGCCAGTTGGATTCTTCTTGATGGCAGAAAATGACATTATTAATTACAGACTTGGAAACTCCAAGGGCAGCAATCATCTCTCGGTCAATTTCTGCACACTTGGAGCTCAAACTGACTTTTTCCCCATGTCTGTATGAACACAAATACAAAATCACAGCAGATGAATAATAAATATTATACACACAACCAACCTTCCTTCCTTCCTTCCTTCCTCAGTGTTGACTGCTGGCAACTACCTGGACAAGTCCCTGTAGTTTTCTTGGCAAGATTTCTGGAAGTGGCTTACCACTGTTTTCTTCCTAGGGCTGAGAGAGAATGGATGGCCCAAGGGCACCCCGTTGGCTTCATGCCTAAGGCGGGACTAGAACTCATGGACTCTTGGTTTTCCTTGTGTTAAATCTATTCCATATATTTCATTACTGTTTGACTTTTTATATTATTCTTATTTTTACTGTTTTCCAATATACAGTGGAACCTCGGGTTACGAACGCTTCTGTTAATGAACTTTTTGGGTTACAGCC